GTCAGAAGAAAAACACATTCGTGATCAGATGGCTGATTTGGAAGATTATGTTAAGATTATTACACTTGCGGATGGAAGAAAAGTCAGTATCAATATAAAATCTCATGTTGAACTAACCATGTTTGATGGTAAAGTGGTTAATGCCTTAACCAACACAAAATCATCTGCAAGCTGCAATATTTGTGGTGCGAAACCATCAGAAATAAACAAGCTAGATCTAGTTAAAATTAAACCTGTGAATGATGATGCTATGTCCCTTGGTTTATCATCATTGCATTGTTGGATTAAATGTTTTGATTACATACTTCATTTAGGCTGCAGACTGGAGATGACTATTCCAAGGACAGATGTCAGGTTAGCCGAATATAAGGTACTTGTTCAAGCTAGAAAAAAAACTTTTTAAGATAGGTTTAGAGCAGAACTTAGTTTACTGGTAGATTTTCCAAAAACTGGATTTGGGAATACAAATGATGGTAATACTGCCCGAAGAGCATTCATGCATGGTGAGGCTTTTGCTGACATAACAGGAGTTCAGGTTGAGTTGATTCTCCGGGTGAGGACAGTTCTTCAAGCTGTTTGTTCAGGGTATGACCTAGATATTGATAGATTTAGCCAATACTGAAATGAGACTCTAGCCTTTATAGTTAATAACTATGATTGGTACAGAATGCCTCCAACTCTTCACAAACTTCTAGTTTATGGACCTGCAATTGCTGAAAATCTAGAACTACCCATTGGTTATTATTCTGAGGAGGCTCAGGAGGCCCAAAATAAAGTGATAAGACATGCTAGGTTAAACCATTCATGCAAAATTTCCAGACTAAATGTAATGAAAAATCAATTTCAATATTTGCTGATCAGAATTGATTCAGAAATTTCGTCGATCAACTTCATAAAACACAAATCTTCCAATGGAAACCCCTTGTCTGAACAAGTTCTTAACTTGCTGAAACACTAAGTTTAGTTTTTTTGTTTAAATCTAAATTATATTGTTACATGTTATATATGTTATATGTTACAACATACAGAAATTGTAGATATTTGTTTCTGAATAATGTAATCTTTATTGTTTTCACTGTTTATTGACAAAATCGGCTGTTATTAAAGCATTATATTTAAAGTGTTTAAAAACATTGAAAATTTGTCACTTTTTATTTAAATAAACTATATATATATTTATGAATTTGTCTCTATAAGTACAATAAAAAACGACAGAAAAGCATGTTGAGAAAGTGGGAAAAAAATTCAGAATTTGCAAATTTGCAAAAATATTTTGAAAAAAGTGTGCAAAATTATTTTCTGACTTTCGGGTTGGGTTACTGATTAAATTTTAATATATTTAGAGCCAAAAAAGGTTGAAATCCATTCAGAAACACTGATTTGAGGGTTTTTGCCGTTTTTCCGTAGCTGTGAGGCACTGTGCGCCGTAGGTATGATATTTTGTTGGTGCCTGTGTCGAGAGGCAGGCTTTCGACCATGTTGAAGTCTCCGGCCAATAGGACAGGTAGTCCTGTGTCCTGCGAGTATTCACCAAGGTCGCCAAAAAAATGGCGCCTTTCTCTCAGCACATTAGGAGCGTAAATATTCAGCACCTGCATTTCGTGTTCGTCAATTTTTATCATGACATTAAATATCCTTCCGATTGTGTCCCTTTTTAGTTCCCCTAAAGAAGTATTGGATTTAGACAGTTATGACTTGGACCGGAGTTCCAAATGGACTCGCCAGTCCATTCGTTCCTCCACTGTTGAACAGTGGAAGGTCCAGAGTGTGTTTCCCGTAGGAGGATTGATCGAAGGAGGGTTTTTTTAGAAACCCAAAAAAGTTATCGCGTTTTTTTTGGTCGTTTAGACCGTTTAGATTACACGTTAAAACATTAAGAGTCATGATGGAGAGAATCAGTTTTCCTAATTTGAAAACTCGTATACCTTAAACATAAATATAATAATTTTACAACCTGACAAAAAAAAAAAACATTTAAGGCAGTGTCTGCACGTCCGGCGACCGGACAAATATCTTCGTCCAACCGGACAAATAGATATAAAGATATACGTCCGGCGAGCTTTTACGTCTAGTTACGTCAAACTACAGTTGCCGTGTTACAAACTTGACATCTATTTTTCTGGCGGACATTATAATGTCGGGCAGATGCTGATATTATCGTAAATTAAATACCCTAAAATAAGAGAACTTATTAGGAAGAGGATATGAATAGACACAAATGTTCCAAACAGAAAATACGCAGCATAGAATAAATGAAATAAGTAATCAAAGGCATAGGAAAATTATAAAGAGATAACGGAAAAGCGTTATTTAAAAAAAATAATAAAAACGCAAAATCTGATTTAGATTTGCTTTTCTTCTAATTTATTGATTGCATTTAGACGCATTACTAAACACAACTTAAAGTTTAACTAAACAGTTTGAGGGAAGTTTTGTTTTAGTCACAATATAATATATTGTAGGGGATGGGGGGTGTATATATTCAATATACACAGGGAAAACTTCCCTGTCTATATTGAATATATACATTCCCCACCCCTGTCTGTATTGAATATATACATTTAAATAGATACTTTCTTTACAATTTAATAACAATACGTCCTTTTGTAAACTGCATTTACTTTAAAATAGATCTGGAATAATGTCTCATACTTGTATTATAAGTCTTTACTATAAAATTATATAACTAGTCTTCGGACTATGATCAAATCACTTGTGTTTCGGCTTTACCTTTCCAGCATCAGGGAAAATTTTAATAACAAATACCATAAATGTGTATATGCCAATAAGGACTTAATTTAGTTCAGTTACTTAAATATTCAATATTTTGCTACGGAAGGTTTTATAAGTAAATGGGAGCAGACCACCAATAATCGATAATAAAACAAAGTTCTCAAATATCGTTCAAAGATCTAACAGAAGGCAATTACTGCTAAGCTTTTTATTTTATATATATTAAATAATATATCTCAAAAAGCAAAGGCAAGGAAATCTTTTTATTGCTTCATGAGAACTTGCACTGGCAAAAGAGCAAACGTAAAAATAAAATACATACAATGACAAATATATAAGCACACTTGCAGAATAGAGTTCAATAATGGGTCTAAGACAGTTGAAAAACGTTTAACGCACTTATTGCAGCACAAAAAATACTAAATACTTCTTTAACGATTGTTATATTGTAACCTTATTGCAAATTTGTAGTTTTAATTTGTTGAAAAAAAGTATTTGATCAAAAAGTTAAATAAATCAACATGTGTAGACTTATCTGCAACGAGCATAGATAACAACATCAACACAATAACATAAACCATAACAAAAGCAACCCTTAGGATGTGTGTGTTCACATTGCCTAATTAATGGATCCTACGGAATTTACACAATATGCCGTTCACCATGCAACTATGTTACAAGGGCTTTTGTCATGTTGCAGCGGGTGATTAATGATCCAAAAGGTGTCATATATGGTTTTATAATAAAATTTTAAATAATTTTTAAAAATTTATTTTCTGAGAAAATTATTAAAAATACCTCTTTTATATAGAAACAGTTAGATTATTATCTCGTGCTATCAGCCCTACAAGCAAAATTTTAAAAACATTAAAAATACAAATATGAAAATGTAACTTGTTTCATATTCATATTCTAATAGATTCTAAACTCATATTCTAATAGATTCTAAACTCCTATTCTAATAGACTCTAAACTCCTATTCTAATGAATTTCAAAATCATATTCAAATAGATTCTAAACTTCTATTCTAATAGATTCTAAACTCCTATTCTAATGGATTTTTAACTCCTATTCTAATAGATTCTAAACTTCTATTCTAATGGATTTTAAACTCCTATTCTGATAGATTCTAAACTCCTATTCTAATGGATTTTAAACTCCTATTCTGATAGATTCTAAACTCCTATTCTAATAGATTTTAAACTCCTATTCTGATGGATTTTAAACTTATATTCTAATGGATTCTAAACTCCTATTCTGATAGATATTCTAATAAATTTTAAACTCCTATTCTTATTCAAATTGCAATTAGTTATATTGTGATAATTATTTTTACAACTGTTACATCTATTTTGTTTATTATTGTAATCATTATTTTATTTCAAGAAAATAAAGTATTAAAACAAAAGAATACTTATTCTTTACTTGGGTAATTATGTAGAATACTACAATATTAATAACAACTTCAAACTGTACATAACTAAACAATCTTGACACGACCATTCAAGATTCTCATTTTTTAAAACATTTTCTAGTAGGCCTTGACAAATACCATGGAACCAATCTTCACAGTTGTTGCACTGTACTATATCCCTAAAACTATAAATATCAGTTTTCTATTAAAAATTATTACTTCATATTTGAAATCAATCTTAATAAATTTTAACTCCATAACCATTTTATTATTAATAGTTAGTTCATAAGGAGGCAGTAATTTTTAAAAATAAATTATTTAATACATGAGATTTAAATGACTGATTAAAAAAACTTTAATTTAATTACCAAGTGACTTACCTATTTTTCTCAAATTTGTTTAAAGGCATCCACAACTGCCTACAAGTACAATGTAAAGAAAATACTTTTTCCTTGCAAAATTTTACTGATTTTTTAGTCTTGGGAAAATCATTCAAATTATTTTCTGTAATGCTTTGAAGTAAATGCTTTCTCATCATATGTGAATCAAAAGCAGCAAAAGAAGGATTTAAGCTAGTGTAGGCAATGTGTTGTGCAAATGCTAATGCAAATAAACCACAATCGACACCATTTGTTTGTTGCTGCACTAGCAAAACACGTACTGTTAAAATATCTTTGGAACAGTTCATAATCGAACAAATTTGTCTGATTACATGCTTTTTTATGTTTCCATGAAACATACTATCTAAAACGCATACCTCATCTTTAGCACATCCAAAAGTACTGATTGTCACCCAGTGTATAGCACCATCATGCAAAACTTGTATAAATGATTCATTAACAACTTTAAATGATTAGTTTTGTCCCAGAACTGGATCTTGTAACCCACAGACGTTTCTCGTCATTTTTTGAACTGTGTGAATCACATTGTCTGATAACATGTGATTGGCTGAAATATCTTGCAAATCAGCTGCAGAAAGCTTAGATGTTAATAAGATGTCACAATTTTGTGTGAAAATTTGACCCTCATTACCAAATGAAAAATCAGCTGGATATACAGTGCTAGATAAAAAATAAAACTTAAAAAACTTTGAAAATACAATTAATGCAAATCCAAATTATGGATGCAAGACTTGTAAGTAAAAATTTTATTATGAAAAAATAGGAAACTCATCAAGTAAGAAGTATTTAAGAGCACATCATTGAACAGCCTTTTTACATAAAACTTAATTACCTCTGATTGGATTTTAAAGTCATAGACTTCTTATTTAAACAGCTTTTACAAAACCAAATTTTGCTTTTCGGTGCAGCCTTTAAACCGACACACTTTCTGTCAAACCAATTTAGACAATGATCACAACATATCACAAAAGTGTCACAGAGTTCGTTGTCACAAGCTTGGCACAGCCAAAGGTTCCTGTGCTTGATTATTTCAAGCTTTCTAGTCAGATATGACCAAGAAACCAAGGAAAAATACTTTCTTACTCTTTTTATTTCAACTGGCTCGTATGTCACTTTTGTAGGTATTTTCAGCCATGGTAGAATATCAACAATCTCAGCAAGCTGTGCCCCAATAAGGACTGATACAATGATACTTGGTTTTACTAACCACCCAAGCAGCACTGAAACAGAATTTAAAAAATTATAAAAGCATTATATAAATAAGTATAAAACATATTTTGTTTATATACGTTAATGGAAAACTTTAAAGATTATTTAGGATTAAATCTTATAATTCATTATAGGATAATTTATTTTATCATTATATGTTTTCATCAATACTTGTATCCTTATCTGTTGGGGACATCTTTAAAAAAGACAACAACTTAAAAGTGGCTGCTCTCTTACTTTTGGGTAATCCAATAACTGTTATTTCAGACCCTTTTGGTCGTCCACGCCTGGGTATATGTGATGGCATCTTGATAAGGTTGGGATCTAGCAGAAGAAAAAATTTCTTAAAAAATGAGCAATTATAAATTTTAATAATGTAATAAGAAAAAATACTCACCTAGTATAGATTTATCAAGTGACTGTGAGTTAGCTACAGTGTTATTTAATAATGGAGTTTGTAAATGTGAATGAGCAAGCAAATTGCTTTTTGACTCATTGGCTGCTAGGCTAACATTTACATTTTGGCTCACAGGTGGAGATAGTGTATGAGGCTGAACCAAGTAATCGGAGATTAACTCCTCGCTAGAAACTATTGGGTTTTGAAGGACATCAGCCTCGCCAAAATCTAACACCTGATCATTTAATTTTTTATCCAAAAAACACTGCAGGGAAGTTTCAAATTCTAACATTTTCAAAAGCCAAATATCAAATTGTTTTCCTTGTGTTTCACTGACCAATGCTGCAATTCTCTGAGATATCAAGAATGCTTTTCTATATTTTGCCTGTTGTGACAGAGGCTTTCTAGAATCTTGCTGAATAGATGAAACACTAATAAAATTTGATTGCAGAATCTCAGCAGACTCTGTTAAATTCTGTGTCATTTGAAAAAAATCTAATCTCCACCTTTTTAAAACAAGACACTCATCAAATAAACTCTCTCTACTATTTAATCTAAATCTAAAAATGTGTTTGCATGGCAGACCCATTGAAGTAGCAAAACCACAGTTGCATGAAATATTGGTAGTTTCCTGCTGAATTAAATCAGATTACTCTGCAGCTAATAACTGTGCATTTATGTAAATCATGGCAAAAGGTGTAACTAAAGTGGCATACTCTCTTTGTGCACTGGACATCAAACTAGTGGATGATTTATGAAAAACCGATATGGCTCTATGTCTGCGCTCATTTTCTAATACTCTTATAGTAACAATCAAATCCGAAAAAAATGTGACCATCCCAGAGTGTTTGGATATGACACTTTTTAACTTCTGGTTGATATTTTCAACACGGTTTGTTGTGCTGTTCATTAGGTTCAACTTTTTTTTTTTTAAACCTTCAACCCACTGCATTCTTATACCATGCCAATTTATATTAAAATAGTCGATGACAGACTCCAATTTAAGAGCCTTAAGGCTATCATAATGCATATTATAGGTAACCTCACTATCAGAGTAAACTAATTGTTGCAGAATTTCTAAGACAAGAAGTCTCTGCTCTGCCTTTATACACATTTTTTCAACAGTTATTTCCCTGCGAAATGTGCGTAAGGTATGAAAAAGACATATTTGAAGAGAAGCGTTTGGAATTTTTTCACTAATCACTTCTCTCTCAACCATGTCTTTGTCTGTCACAACAACTTGAACACCACTGGTATTGTTATGTTTTTTAAATATATTTGTTAATTCAGCTATGGTTACTCTCTCCTCATTAGCAACAATCCAGAGAGCAACAACTATTCCTTCACCATTTCCATCGACACACATTAAAACATATAGAGGCATACACAAGTTGTAAAGCTTATATGTGGCATCAAGGAGAAGCAGTTCAGAATAGTGTGCAAACAACTTCATCATCTTGTTTTCCTGATAACACAATGCCTGAAGTTGATTGGCATCATTCACAACAACCTCTGTCACGGAATCCTTCTGTTTAAGCATTTCACTTAACAGAGTTGTTAAATTGTTATTATCCTGATTTCGAAGAGCTTGATTTATATTTTGAACGTCCTTAAGCGTAATAACTTTCCTAGTAGATTTCATCATATGCTGCTGTATCAACTTTTTGTTAGCTTTTACAGCAAGCATATGATTTATTTCATCTTTTTCATCTCTGTCTAAGTGACGCTGATGTGGGAGGTGCATAAATGATTCCTGAAACAAAATTATTTAAAATTATTTCATAATACATTTTATCACTATTTTATTAAATTATTACAATTAAATTACTTCTGTGATAAAATGAGAGTGTTCTTCGATCATTTTAACAATTTGAAGTTTCTTCCCATCATCACTGAGTTGAAATTTAATGCATGCTTTGCAATTTTGTCGGAAGGTCCTGGAAAATTAAATAGATTTTTGTATTGATTAATTTTCAAAAACTCAAGGATCCATAAAAATCATTCTTCTCTGTTTAGCAAGCGCTTACACAATCTTTCAGTTTTGCGCTCGCCCACACACCCGCCAATACCTTAGTCAGCGCTAAATAATTCTAAATTAAAAAAAAACGCCAATAATTTCCATTGGTGATTTTATATAATAAACATATATATATATATATATATATATATATATATATATATATATATATATATATATATATATATATATATATATATATATATATATATATATATATATATATATATATATATATATATATATAGTGAAATCCTGATATCTCAAACCCCGAATAGCTCAAAAATTTGCCAAGTCAAACTATTTGATCTGTCCCCATAGCTAATATTATGCCTACAACTCGAACTTTAGAGGAAAAATAGCAAGAAAACCGTATTTAAAGCAGTCACAAGAATAAATAGTCTGGAAACAAACAATAGCGCTTTGTTTATGTTATTGTTCAAAAAAATACTCGTTCTCAATCTTCCGAAGGTGCACATTAAATAAAGTAAACAACAAAATCTCATAATGAAAGTACTTATCTTTTTATTTTCAAGTTACTTAAAAGTATATAAAGTATAAATTTACAAATTATATTCAAGTTTTTGTAATTTATTTTAGTGAATTTAGTCAAATATGTTTTAATAATATTAATTGACTAAGCTTTCCTAATATTTTAACTAACTATAATATATATATTTTAACTATAATATATATATTTTAACTAACTATAATATATATATATATATATATATATATATATATATATAATATATATATATATATATATATATATATATATATATATATATATTTATATATATATATAATATAACTATATATATATATATATATATATATATATATAATAATATAACTATATATATATATATAATCATATATATATATATATCTATATATATATATATATATATATATATATATATATATATATATATATATATATATATATAATATAACTATATATATATATATATATGTATATATATATATATATATATATATATATATATAAAATATAACTATATGTATATATATATATATATATATAACTATATATATATATATATATATATATATATATATATATATATATATATATATTATATATAATATAACTATATATATATATATATATGTATATATATATATATATATATATATATATATATATATATATATATAAAATATAACTATATGTATATATATATATATATTATAACTATATATATATATATATATATATATATATATATATATATATATATATATATATATATATATATATATATATATATATATATATATATATATATATATATATATATATATATATATATATATATATATATATATATATATATAATATAACTATATGTATATATATATATATATATTATAACTATATATATATATATATATATATATATATATATATATATATTTATATATATATATACAGGACTTGTGACGAATAAAATCGTCAAGCGTGTTATATCGCGCTTGTAAAATTAAAATATGTTTTCATCGAGCGTGATTATGTGGCTCGAGATAACGTCGACGAGCGCGATCATGAAAATTGCTGAAGAAGATCTTTTTTTATTTGTTACATCATTCTTTCGTCGACAAATGTTATAATTAGTATCACACTCATGAATTAACACTCTTGTATATTGTCAGATCGGGATTTTTTTTAAACTATTTATGTTATAAAAAAAAATATATCAAACAAAAACGCAACTTCTTGTTGATTTAACAAGAAAATTTGAAATCTTTTTTTTTTTAAACTATTTATTATAGGTTAAATAACAGATTTTCCCCTCAACTGTTGTCAACGGTGTTTCCTCTTCTACATTTTCGAAACTGAATGCAACTAATTCGTCACTCATATCTGGTAACTTCAGTTCTAAAGCCTATTACCTCTTGAACTTTCCATTTAATAAATGTTGACAACATTACTTTGTTTCCTTTTGGAATGTCCTTGATTGCGGACATTCTAAACAACAGAATCGTTTTAAATTTGAGTTAAAATAAATAATAGTTAATAAAAAACTTATACTATGAACAAAAACTAATTTAAAAAATTACTGAATCATTATTATTTATTTTTATTATAAACGATGTATGGAATATTACAAACAATAAATCAAATAAATCTTACTTGATGTTTTCACAAGATTAAAATTATTCTGCAGTTTCAATTTTCTTATAATGGTTTACTAATTTTTTATTATTTTATTTGTGCATTTTTGTATTTGCATTGAATTTCTACATGCACATTCCATCAATGAAATTAGTGCCTATTAACGACTTCAAACTGCTCATTCATTATGTTAGTGCAAAAAAGAACGACGTTGTGCTTTTTTTATTTTATATTATATTAGTGCTTCGATAATATAAAATCTTTATTAAAAAATCTTTTTTTCATATTTTATGAAATAAAAAAAAAAGTTATTATTTGTTTTGCCCCGAACTCTTGGACGAGCGTTATTTTATAACGCTCGTTATAAGCTGAGCGAGCGTTGTTTATCGCGCCTGAAACGTTTCAAAATACCATTTACGGGCGCGTTTCACGAGCGGAGCGCGATCGCGCTCGATTCATCACAAGCCTTGTATATATATATTGCAGCTATATATATATATATATATATATATATATATATATATATATATAAATTATATAGTAATCATATAGTATACATATAGTTATATATATATACATATAGTTATATATGTATATATATATATATATATATATATATATATATATATATATATATATATATATACATATAGTTAGGTGATACTCTATATATACGAGTATATATATATATATATATATACATATATTTATATTATATATATATATATATATATATATATATATATATATATATATATATATATATATATATATATATATATATATATATATATATATATATATATATATATATATATATATATATATATATATATATATATATATATATATATATATATATATATATATATATATATATATATATATATATATAGTATTAAATCTCTTAGAAAAGCTAAAAATAAAGTCCAGGATAATTATACTGAACTGTCTGGCTCTACTCACTTGTCAACTCACAAAATGAAATTGTAACAATTATTTTATTGGATGAGCATAGAAATTTACATTTTTGTATATAATATCTCATTCATAAACTGGAAATAAACTATTCAAGTCCTTAGATGTGAAGAATTATGAAGCATATCTACACAGTAAAACACTTTAAAAGCTAGTTATTACACTAAAAAAGCTAGTTATTTTTTACAAAATTTACCAATCCAATAGAGCAGCACAGAAGTTGTTATTTGTCAGTGGTTGAAGATTATTATAAGTAATAGCTTACAAGCTCAGTGAATTTGACTGAAAAAACTTGATGCTATTTTGAAAAAAATTGTTATTATTTAAACGTATATACTTTTTAAGTATATACTTTATAGATTGGAATCATCCACTTAAAAGCAATTACGGAAATACATCATGAATATGAGGACATAGCAAAAAGATTCAACTCAAGTGGAATCAATGTTTTTAAAGAAATAAATTTGATAAATATAAAGGCTGTAAAAGCCTAACATA